AATTTACTCAAAATGCTTAAACACATAGACAATGCTTGGGGGGAAATGTTATGAAATATAAACGTATTTTTGATTTTCATACCTGGAAATTTGACATTCTAGTCTAACAAATATGAACTCATGTCAACACGTTCTCGTAAAATATTAGTTTGGCTATGAAACATACAACCATTACATAGCAACGTGCTGAGTGGCGGCGGCACAGCGGGAAGGTTGCAAGGTCGAAATAAATGTTCTGAGGGGGCGTCGCTTCTCCAAAATCAAGCTGAAATCCTTTGTGTCAGTAAAATTTGTTCTTCAAAATGCAGGAAATAGCGTTTCAGAGGGTCTAAATTTCAACATTTTTAAGGGGAGCAAAGTCGTGCCTCCGGCGCGAGGTTTGTGAGCAGATCTCGCCCCTCATGCACAATTTCGTGCCACCGTCTCTGGTGCTGGAGTAAAACAATAAAAAACAGAAACAGTTTATTACTTTTACGATACTGTGCAGTAAATACATGTGAGTACATGCAATTATTTTAAATGTTTGTTAATTAAACCGAAATGTTGTCCGTCGAATAATGCGGTTATGTTTGCGAATGTCGACTAGACTAGAATGTCGACTAGAAAATAATACCTAATTCAAGTTGTCTGGGAAAGCATTTTTGTTTTTAATAACAAAAAAAAACACCCAAGGTCACTTGCCAGTCCTACTTTCTAGACCAGAGTTTTAGAATATTTATCCATAGCGCACCAACGTCAAAATTGTCAAACAAAAATCTTCGAACCTAAGTTAGTATAGTGTATGAGACTGTGGCAGTGTGTACAAATCCCTTGATCTCTGATGTACACAATACAAATAATTCTGATGAAATTTAGATGTGTCATAGCAAAATATGACATGGTCGCTATGATTGTTACAAACGCAGACATGAAACACAGTTCATCCACACCGGACTGTGCATAAAAACACTTGACAGCGTTCATACAAATACAACGAAATACGGGATATCATGTCACTGTTTGCTATCTTATATGGGCATGGCGAGGTTCAGGTATTGTGTCTGCTTATCTGAGGTCATCATTGAGGTCAACTTTCTCATTCAAGTATTCATATTTAAATGATAAAAACAGATCATATTAAATACCTTGGTAAATAGCATTCAATGTACAGTTCGAAACGCTCCGAATACGGACAGGTCGTTAATTTTAGTCTGTCATTCACACACCCACGCTCTAGTACTATTGATACACACGTGAATTGTGTATTTGTTGTTTGATATCTGATACGCATTACCATAGCCACAATGTGTTCAGTATGGATGATTTATTAAGACTGAACCAGTTCATTTATAGCGTCACCCGAACAGAAGCATATGGGAAAGATATGTGTGAGGGCGCACTTACTTACGTTCTCTAGCAAACTAGCTTTTGCTATAGATATTTATAAAAACAATAAAGGTTCATAATGGAAATATCTAATTATTGACTAATATTTTTATGATACACTTTGTTTTAATAATTACATTGATATAACCGATACAGATTATAAGACTATTGAACCTGCATTTAGCATATATCTACACTATTATATATTTAATATAAAACAAAATAATCTAAATGTTCAAAAATGTTGAAAATATTTTAGATTAAAAATAATATATAATAAAAGAAGTCGGAGCGTTATCTCCGCCGTTCATTCCCCAATAAACATTTCTGTAGGTCCTGAAAGATGTCATCTTGAATGTCTTCTTTACGGAATTCGTTTAAATCAATAAATCCTGTGAATGTTTAGAGACAAATTTCACATTAATGTCACATTCTCAAAACAATGAAGAAAATAAAATTACAGGCATCAAGATACCAACGTGTTCAATGCATCCGTGTTTAAAC